GCCAGGATATCCATTCCCGTCCATCGATCCTTCCTTATCTCTTGAGTCTAGACATCCCATGTCTCATCCTAACCCCTTCTCTTGAGCCAGGATATATCCGTTCTCATGTCTCATCTCAATTCTCATCTTCCCGCTTTCGTCTGCCTCCCTGTGTTTTCCGGAGCTCTGGCGCGGTGGAAGAAGCAGGTGATATTGAAGCTGGACTGACTGTCAGCGAGATGGAACCAGCAAATACATTGATGGCGTTTCTTTGGAGGACTCTTATCTGTAATTAGAACCACATCTTATCGATTTACTTCATAGACAGAAGATAACATGCTTTTGCTGGTCAAGCAAGCCCGATGTGTGATTCCCTTTCAGTACCAAGACCAATGTAACATTGAAAATCCAGCATCACGCGGGACACGATTGCTGTTCCGCTTCACCCACTGCCAGTAGCCGCCAACAATGGGGGTTACCACATCGAAATACTTTTTCAAAAATTCGCTCTCGTCAAACGAAGCATGGAAGGGTGATGCGACTTGGTTTTCATTTTTGCATTAACTTACTGCCATCCGAAAATTCATGTTTTTCGCACGCTAAAATGCCCCATTAACGAAATGTTGCTGTCCAACATGACTGCGATTTTTGCAGATTCAAATGCTTTCTTTTTCCCAATGGGGCTCATCAAAGATAAATGTGGATAGTGTCTACTCTTGCCTCAAAGCTTACGCAGTTTGGTGTACCTGCGTTGATGCCTATGCCAAATGAATTTCCAAGCTTAGCTTTCTTCGTGATTCAAAAAAAGGTAATTGAAAATTAACTTCGAAAAACATTTAAGCTACATACTTGCTTGGTACTGCGAGAGCCCTTTCAAACAAGGTATTTGTTGACGTTCTAGGTCAATCCAGTCCGGAGTTCAAAAAATGGCGGCAACACCCATACTACCCTGGTGATCAAAGTTAGAGGGTGTACTTGGGTCCCCGGAGTCGTAAAAAAATTTGAATTTCGGATTTTCTTTTTCACATTTTGCCTCATTGCAGCATGTCTTTTGAACTAAATCTGTAACTAGTCGGCAACATTTCCTTCCTACATAGGATCAGTCAAAGTGAAATGACCCACAGTAGAATTCTCTGGTGCAAAAAGGAGTCATGAGGAATATATCACCAACTTATTGCTTTTTTCCAGCTGACCACCCTAGCACTCCCTGCACCTCTGCCCCGCACCCCCAGGGAGTGCGGGCACCTCTGGTTAAGAACCCCTGCTCTAGCGGGAGAACGACTGAGCTGATTAAAAAAATATCAGGAAGTGTACTGTTTCTGTGAAGGAAATAGAAATCTCACAAAGAGACAGGAAGGTTGCTTGGCAGTAGGGTAAGACCACCAATGTTCGGACAGTTAAGCTGGCCGAGCCTCATCATTCACTTGTCCCATCTCAACGGTACAAGGTGGAAGCTTTATTTTTTGCCCCTGGGAGCACAACACTAAGAGTGCTTTACGTCCTGTAAAGACGTTGCCCTTCCTACCCTTATAACTACCGATATTGCTTATAATGTGGATGTCCGAACTTAGATACGGGAAAAATTAAGTTCGGACACTTTCACCTTAGTTCGACCACCCACGTTTTAAAGTCTCAAAGAGGCTTGAAACACTTCATTTTGACGTGAAGGAATGATAACCCGCTCCCAAAGTATTGGATCTTTCTTCTATTTTCTAGTATAGGATGATCGTGAGTGAATGAGTGATTGACTTTAATTCTAACCATGTTTTAGAGATGTTGGAGATGGAAAGTTCGAACTTGGTAGGTCTAAACGAATAACTGATGATGCGGATTTCAGGTACTTGTATTTGAGAGACACATATCTATATAAATTTATTTTCTCCAATGAAACGGAGAGACAGAAGCTGAAACTTGGCGCATCGGTACCTATTGAGGTGCAGATTTCAGGGGGGGAACGCTACTTTTAGGATTCGTTCCCAGGGGCATATTTTTGGGGTGGACCTTTCCCAAAAAATTATTTCGTTCCAGGGAATCATAGAGACGAAAGGCTGAAACCTTACTCAATTAGGTATATGCTGGAATGCAGTCATAAGGGGAAATCCTGCTTCTGGGAGATATCTTCTGGAGGTACATTTTGGGGGAACCATATTTTAAAATATGTTTTGCTACATTGAATCGGGCAGTGAAGGATATAGAAACATGGAATTTCGTTCGTAGGGTTTCCTCCAGTCGCTAATTTCTGGAAAAATCCTACTCTTGCGGATAATCCCTTGGGTGCACATTATTCATAAGAGTCATGTTGTCGGAAATAATTTTTAAGCATAACGGACTGGCACAATTTGTTATATTCAATAGTCAAGTATTTCTCTGCATGCTTAATTCAGAAAACATCCAACTTGAGGGACACATCCCGCTCCGAATTTGGAGGTACAACTCCTGGAAGAAAATGTATCCAGCAGACGTGTTCATCGTAAGCAATGTTGGCCTTCCGCAAGGACATCTCACCCGAATTAAAGCCCTGATAGCCTTTTCAACACCCTCGGATCGATAATCCCTTGCATTCCAACCTCCTACCACTTCTTTGGAGGCACGACGTACACTTGGGTGTGCGAATAAATATATGCAGCTGTATCTTTTCATGTACTCGACGGTGTCCGAAGTTACATGTCCCGTTATGAAAGCTCGGAGAGAGCTCAAAAATACATGTTCTCTGTAAAAATACATGTTCAAAAATGCATGACTCAACTGAGTTTTTGTCAACTCTAAACGTACTTCATCTCAAGAGAACGTAATATTTCCGCAAATAAGACACACATGAATGTATGTCCGAACTTAAGTTTCTCAAACATTTCTTGACCTAAGTTCGGACACACCGAAAGTAGACAATAATCTGATCAATGCACGTGCATTCTGCCTAATAGGACTCCGTGTCCTCCTAGTTTCCTGGGAAGTAAGAATTGAGCACAGAAAACACAAAAGTCGCGTGTGAAACGTTTTACAAGTAAGGTTCTCTCCTTACGTTTTCTTGAAGAATTCCTCCCGTTCGCCATAGGCTATAGCATTAGCCTAAGCCCAATATCTTGGAATCGGGCAAAGTCATGATGATCACCACTTTTCCTTGGCTCTGTAATGTGTTCATCTCAAGTTAGGAAGAACCATTTCTGAAGGCGACCCCGCGAATGCTTAGTTTTGTAACAATGTCTGCAGCAGTGTCCGAACTTAGGCACTGTCCGAACTTAGGTGGTTTTACCCTACCTCTATATACCTAATATAAAATATAATATAATATATAAAGAAGAAAATTTGTCTGTCTGTCTGTTCCTTTATGCATTCGGACCCCGCAGGAGCCAGTGCAACCAAACTTTGCATGGCCTCCTCTTTCATCCAGGGGAAGGTTAAGGGCTATGTTTCCATCCAAAATTTTCTCGCCCCGGGGTATTTTTCTGGGGTACCATAGTGTCTGGGAGGAACGACTGACTCTTGGATTCGGTGGTGCAGTGGTAGCACACCTGACCGACGATCAGGAGGTCCGGGTTCGATTCCTGGCTGTACCCTGCCTTTATTTCGTTCTCTTTTGCCATCTAACTCTCCCCTCCCGGCCACCTGCATTACAGTACTCCAGAGTAGTTCCATTGCTGGATCACTACAGTAGGTAGTAAGTAATATTCTTTCGATCAAGTTTTCATCGAAAATATGTTTCAAAACGATGAAAAAATGTTACTAAAACATTTAAAAATTACGCAAATATCAAAATTTTAAATGTCAACCCCCCCCCCTCCCAAAAAAAAGTTAAAAGAAGGGAAAGCGGTCTGAGCGCATTTTGCGACACCCAAGATCAGTATAGGAAACTATAAGGCTTACGTTCCCCAATTTGTCATGCATGAAATATTGCATTTCCCCGGGGCAACGCCGGGTACTTCAGCTAGTTCTAAATAAATAGAATTCTGACTGGTCCTTAAACCACTTTTTCGCAGCATCTGTCAACCACAAATTGGGTCTCACAGAAGTGAGACTTAAGGTATCGGAGCAGACATTAGTCACCCGGAGTTAGTTTAGGGCTACAGGGGGATAATTCATTTAAAATTCACAGTCACGGTCAGCCTGAATAACGCTGGTCTGGTGAACAGGAGTATCGCCATGAGGGAGCGAAACACTGTGTCAACATTACTCGCCTTTCTCCCAGATTTTTCCTTCATTTTCAGCACAAAGTCGCCACAATACTAGTCAGTAAGAGCGCTTTTGTGACGCAAGTTGTCATTCCGCAAATGTATTTTGGAATGCCAAACAATTTGCGGATGGGTGATGGATACGGGCAGAATTTCTTTGGAGGGAGCGTCTTGGTGCTTCCACAGCGTGGACTCCATGGTGGTTCCTGGGCCCCGGTTTAAGCCCCCATTTAAAGCTTCGTCTCCAGTTATTTAATGAGAATGAAAGTTTCCTGGATAAACGTTGAAGAGGGCCAGAAGCTCATGACTTGCTTCAATCCGCCTATAGCTACCACTGGCATTGAAGTTTGGGGGGACCCATCGAACCTTGGAGCCTAAGTCTACAGTATTATTCATGAACCTAAATGTTCATGAATAATACTGTAGTTAAATAAGTGTTTTACAGTAGGATTGACTGCATTGGAGGGTCGACCAGATCTTGGCTTTTTTCCCCGACCGACTCACTCTTAAACTTATCGAACCACCTCGCCACCGAAGGCTAACTAGGAACTCCTGCCCCGTACACAGTCACCATGTGTTCGTGAATTTACTTTGCACTGTTGCCTCTTTTGGACAAATATTGATTACTTTTCCATGCTCAATATTCTCAATATCCATCGATCACGAAGTCCGAAATAAAACTGGCATGAATGACATTAATGACATGATGAGAAGAAATCTGTAATAACGTCTGATTACGAATAGATGTTGCTTTAAAATAAACGCAACCCTTGTTCTGAGCGAATGTTTGTAGAATTTTTCCAAACCATTTTTCTTTACCGTCCCTCGTACATTGAATTTCATTTGCGATTATTGTTATGGATCTACAGGGGGGAAAGCCATAGAATGACAAGACTTCTTTAATGTCCTGTGAGAAATCCCTCGGACTGGCAGGTCCATGAAGTTATAGTAATGGAACGTCTGGATATCGTGGAGTGCATGCATCATGAATTCTGGTCGGAGCGAAACAACATAAGATCGTTCCTGATAGCTGGGGAGAAACATAAAGAATCGGACCTGGTTGTTGGGAAGCGGGACCGTATAGACCTTAAAGGAAGTCTTCCCAACGCTGGACTCCCCGGGCTCGATCTGAAAGCTTCGCTTGCTGGAGCCTGAGTTTGATCGGGAGAGAGTGTGTACGTAGGGACGTCGCTTCGTCGCTCCTCTCCCTGCCAGCAGATTGCTCAACAGGGACGGACTCCGTGCGCAGATGTACGCATGCAGCGATGACACCGTGAACACTCCCAGTCGGTTTAGGGTCAACTTTGTACCTCTGCTCACGTTTGTCAACAGGTTCTACGGGGAAAAGTGATACGCGTTTGTTTCGTAACGTCAAGATTTTTAAATATATATTTACAGAAACTACAATCGAGTTAGCTGTCCGCTTAATTTGAGCCTGGTTCAAAAATGACGATGGAGGAATGAAATCCACTCAAATAAATCACAGGTGGGAAAAGGGATTATCATAGATATTACGAATTGAAGTCAATGCAGTTCATTATCTCACCTGTAGCTTTTATCGAAGTATTGTTACTTAATTAAATTGCATGAAGTTGTCAACCTGTATCACATACATTGTGCTATCTTATATTGTCATTTTGGTACCATGGAGTAAACAATATTCTCATTCAATCTCTCACTGATAATGCAACATTGCCTCTAACCTTGGGATTTGGGAGCTCGGATCCCTCCAGAGATGCCATGTAACACCGGAGCCGGAATTGCTCGCATCGAAGCCTCTCCAGATTCTCCTCCCACTGGTTTATTTGCGATTGGATCTGATACTTGGAATCCGCGTCAGATACAACCGACAGCTGCAGCTCGGCCATATGTTTCAGCTTCCGGTCCTACACCAATATGGCGACATTGAATCGTTTCATGCCGGAAAACTTCTTTCATCGAGGATCCTATTATGTTCCAGGGATACTTTCCGGAGAAAAAGTTTTCCGGCCAATATGTCTTCACTCTTTCATTACGTACGGACGATAAGACATGGCCCACTTACGGATTCTATAGCCTTCTCGAGACGCAGGACTTCTTCTTTGAGCAGATGGAGAGTGCCGGTCTTGCCTCTGTGCCTGGCAAACGCTGCCGCACACGCCCCGTGTATACTCTGAATCCAATTCTCCAGTTCCACTTGACAAGGGGCCTGAAGGAAAACCGAATTTGTGAAAGGGGCAAGGAGAGGGAAATGTCATGGGAATGCATAGCAGCGGATCGATGGAGACGAGAGGGTGAGATGATGAAAAATTCATGGGGACTCATTAGTCAAGAAGCAATCGCTCAAATGATATGCGTAAAAGAGGGTACTTTCACTAATTACAAGACTTTCCTTCACTCTTTTTCAAAGCCTTCGCAGTTTTCACGAAAAAATATCCAATGAATTCTGAATTCTGCTGCAAAGAAAATTGGAATCTTCAGAATAACGTTTGAATAAAACCAATTCATTAGTTTGAGCCGGCAGTCAATCACTAGCATGATTTTAAAAAAAATCATCACTCATGGGAATTACCAGTTCATGATTAATTAGCACAGTGTACCTGAAACAAGTAGGCGTCGCCGAAGGCGGTGCTGAGGCAGAAGATGTACTCTCGTTTGGGATGCTCGGGGATCGGCTGAAGGATAGCTCCATCCACAATGATGAGGTGCCTCGGACTGGCCTCCACGTTGTTGCCCCGTTGGCCGGCTTCGTTGCTGCTGTCCTCGGAGGAATCGCAAGGATAAAAGAGCATCGTTGTCCCCTTCAAGCACACCCAGTACCCCTTCCAGCCCCGTTTCCGGGCCAGCTCGATCCGGTGCTTTTTTCGAAGCAACCACTTCTTCACGCTCAGGAACCTATAAGTTACCAGGCATCCCGCATTACATTCAGATCAGGTTGAGGAATTGAGAAAAGCAGTTGGAATGGTCTCATTCAAATTCAAGAACTTTCAACGGAATCACTTTAACTCCATTTCTGGTCAATTTTCCGCTGGAATTACTCCTTTAGAATTCCATCAACCCTCAATTCCAGTTCCAATTTCATCCAAAATGGAGCCTTCGAGTTACGGAGGAAAAAAAGAATCCCAGGAAGTTCAACGAGCCCTTTTCACCCTGTAGATACATATAGCGCATAACATACATTAAGAACTTAGGCGGATTAGTATATCTAGACCAGTGGTTCTCAATCTGTGGTCCGCGGACCACTGAACACACGGATCTTGAGTTTGAGAACCATTGATCTAGACGAGAAGTTGAATTATAGATGGAGAACCTTCGAGTGGTCTCCGATGTTCAATTATTCATTCTGATCACCATAACAAATTCTTAAAATTGGAATTAGAATTGGCACGAGATTGGAATTGAGACGACGAAGTCTATTCCAATTCCATTTCAATTTCTCACTACAAGTTGAACCCCAATTCCGTTCAGTTTCAAGGAGAAAGTGGAGTCATTCCAGAATCATTTCAAGTTCATAGTACAAGGTACCAATGACTATGATGACGAAGATGGGGATTTTAAATAGTCACTTTGTCATTTACAGAAACGCTAAAAACTTAGCCACTTGAAAGTAAAGAAATAATGAATAATATAGAGGTCAGCAACAGCAAAGGCGATAGTAACGGTCGCACTAGAATTGTCAATAGCACTCTCCCTATTTGCGGTAAAATACCGGAAAATGTAAAAAAGTTTTCCTTGGTCTATCGTCGGCCCATAGCTTGAGAGGTTGGCTCATCTCTGGCGAATGGTCGAGTCGGCCAATTCATTAATTTAAACGTGTGCCGTAGTTGCCCTCATCCCCGTCCCTTCACTGGGCAGCACATGACAGCATTGGCTGATGTGCAGCAAACGTGGCTCAGAAGGTTCACAAAACTGCCGTGAGATGGAGCCTATATTGTCGAAAGGCAAGACACTCCCTGATTCTACTGAAATGAGTTCTCTGTATCTCTGACAGTTTCAGAGTTTCCGATGGTTTCTCTTATAGATATTAGCGGAAGACTATGAAATTCCTCGACACATTTATCTTATTTAACCCTTGCCCAGTCCGGATATACTCCAGGTAATTCTGGCCCTAAGGTTGGTTATACTAGCTCCTTGACTCCATATCCTAGAGTTTTATTGCTATATATTCAATAGTTGTCTCTTGGAGATGTATAATCGATGCAGTTTCTTTTTTATCCAATATATTTTCTGCTTCCTAGAAAGTCGGTTCATCACTGGCTAATTCGCGGGGCATGTGTGGATTCCAACAGTGAGCTGTAGTTGGCCTAATGTAGGGCCAACGGAAAGCCAATCATCTGCCAGTCTTGGCCCAGCTATGGTTTATGAACGTGTCAGCTAAAAGCCACTGATAGTCCGCTCAGAAATGTTTCACTGGATTGCAAAAAGAACAATCAAGATATACTGTAGGCTATGAATGGATGAATGAATGACAAGACAAGAATTGAAGGTTAGTGTTTGATGTCGAGCCGAGAAGGAAGAATGAGCTCTTCCTGTCCTAAATCGGATTGGATATCCGGTCACCTCTTTGGAATCAGCTTAGGAAGCAAAGAAGCCGAAGATCTCTGCCCTAGAATGCTTTCTGGGCTTCTTCCAGAATCAATGAACTTCCCGCTTCTAGCAGATGCAGGAATTATCGCAAAAAAGCCTCAGTATAAAATGAAAACTCCCCCCCCCCCTAACTATGCTCTGTTGTGCTAGAGAAAACGTTCTCAAGTATGATCTGTATCATGATACCCATTTATAAATATACTAGGTATTTCTGTAAGATGTTCAGTATAAGAAGAACCATGACAGTCTTTCTTAGGATCCTCTAATCCTGCGACGCGATCCTTAGACCCGCGGCCTAGGAGAAGAATTTGCGGTTCCTGGATGCCTTTCGTTTCTAAAGAGAAATGCATACCTAGGATTTGATCAAAATGAATTTAAACATAAAGTACAAATCGCGGCAAGCAAGAGATGATTGAGACGATATTGTCAATGTGACTACCCTACGCCCACCAATCGAGCCGCTTTGCGTGCCTCTTAATAAATGGATACGGCAGATATGACATTTTCCGGTCCTCGAACACAAATCAAAATCTCAATTTCGCCCATTGTAGAATAAAGGTTGTACATAATTGCTCTTCTTATGGAATTCCATGTATGAGGGGTCACCGATCCTTCGCTTTAGAGCTGCCAGTAGCTGTCTAAGTGAAAAGGTTGGACGCTCTCCGATTCGTCATCCGGCATTCTTTCTTAAGGTCTTTTTAAAATTATATCTCTATAGGTATAGATGGGATATATATTGCACCAAGTCATAAGAATACGAAATTATGTACCGGTTTGGAATGAACCAGAATATGAAGAGGAGCATACCCAGCTTTCCTCACGGCTCCGGTGCAGCTGAATGAAGCAGCCGGGATGCCAGATCGATTCCCCATGGGATTCCCCATGTCTTCGTCGTCGCTCAGCGCAGTCGTCAGCGACAACCGCTCGTCGTCCGATATCTGCAGCCAGAGCACAGGGATGCATTAGAGACCAAAGAAAAATCCTTAATAGAAAAATCGAATTTTTTTTGCGCAATGCCTCTCGTCGGAAAAGCAGATATTGACACCCAACCGATGCAGTCCCGATTAGACGGGGCTTCGGAGAGCTGCCTTGCGAGCAGCTAATATATCTATCCTCGGAAACTTGAAAGACAATAAATTCTGGCACATACTCGTATATGAAACCATTAAGGGTGGAATCTATTATAGTAAAGGGTCAGGGTGATTACTTTCCTATAAAAGAAGAAAGAGGAATGAAGACAAGCAGAGCATAAAAACACAAATGTTACGTTTTCAGTTTAATGAAAGAACAAATGAATATAATTTAAATTTACTGGTAAATATGTAAGCACATAAAGAAAACAATGGATAAGAAAATGTAAGAAAAATGAAAACTTTCAGGTTTCTCACGCCATGTAGAATTTGATCAGTCTTCTACACAGTAACCAGGTAGATAATGAAATTACTTTCGAGGAAATCGTTATTGTAGATTCTGAATTATGACTGTTACCAAGCCATAATTCAGAATCTACAATATTCAAATTCATACCAATTACTCAGTGTAGAAATGTCATCTGGCGAAATTTTCTTAAGTTTTCTCAACTCTTAATTGACAGATTGGAATTACAGCAGCACGGCAGGATGGCAGTTCAGACTCCGTATTCAGTTTTGCATTCTGGTACTTTATCACTTCACGGAGGCCTCGAGGGAAACAACAAAAAATCTGTGCCTTCGAATTTGTGCGAATTCACTTACTTCAGAGGAAGTGAGGTAGCAGATGCGGGAATCGGTGCTTTCCACAGATGAGGGCTGATGAGACAGATCCCGAGACGTGGATAAAAGGGGCCTGTGGTCGCTGAGGTAGCCGGATCCCCTCAGGTCACTCCCATACCCCGATCTTCGATGCTGGGAATCCTCAAACGATGACATCCGACTGTTGGGAAAGGGCGAAAAACCTCCGCGTTATCCTCCGCGAGGAAGAAAGCTCGTCCGTGCGAATTTTCTCGGGGAAGACTTGCCTGGAATCCCAGTGGTCGCTCACGTATCCCCGGTCCAATCTCTGGCCACTGGGGTAACGCAGGGGGCCAGCACTCATAGGGCGGGGTGTCCTTCTAGCGCTGGCAGACGTCGACGGCAAGCTTCTACAAGATTGTGCTGAGAAAAGAAGGGATCCATTAAATGGAGAAATCGCAGATTGCAGACACTCGCGAAAACTCACTGTATTTTTATTTTATCCTACCGGTACTCGAGACGACTCACCGAGGTTATCCATGCTCTGTGAAATGAGCGCTTCGAATGTGTTGAGAGATATGCTTTCGGCCTCGAGACCTTGAGCCAAGGTACTCCTCAGATGGGCTTCGTATTCCTTGAGCAATTTCGCATTGGGGGATCCGAGAGGGTTCTCGGCGTCCGAGTTCCCGCCTCCGTTGCTGGAGCTGGGTGTCGTGGCGTAGCAGTTGGAGTCGAGGAACGAGGACTCCCGCTTCATCCGGGCCAGACTGCTTTCGGGTTCGGAGAGGAATCCGTCGAGCCGAGAGGGACGTTGAGCGGATCCCCGGCGGGGGCATTCCGGGGAAGTGACCGGGCTGTCCAGGGATCCCATCGGTTGAAGCATCCTCTTCAGCGTGTTGCTGTCGAAGCGGAGCTGGCTCACGTCGTCCGTGCTCTTGCTCTTGTTCCGTCGGCTCTGGAATCCCTCGCGCACGGACTCCATCTCCGAGTAATCCACCGATTTCGTCGCGGTGAGCTCCCTGCGTTGCAAGCCGTTCCCACGCCGACCTGCCTCGCAAAACACGACCGAATTCTACTTGTCAGTGATCCTCGCCAGTGAACCTCACAGATAAACCAAATTACGCTCTCACGTCAGAGTAAGTCTTGTGTCTCATCAGATCATCAATACTCTAATAGCATGCCATTTGTAAAAAGGTCTAATTTACTGTTCATATTAACGGGAGCGGATGAAATTCTGATTTTTTTGGCAGATATTTCCCATGAGTTTTTATTAAACCTGCTATTACCACATCGATACTAGGCATCACCACCCTGTGTCCACGACAAAATCACTTCCATGGACTTATATTCAGAGTCTACCTCTTATTTTGAAGGCATTACGATCAACTTCCGAGCAGAGCTCGGGGTTCAGATGTGCTCGTGCAACGACGTCGCTGTCCTCAAAAATCAATGTTCTCATTCATTTGGCAATGAAAAAATCGTATACGGGGGAACGTACGGTCCATTTCGTGGTCCAACGACATCCGACTCCCACTACGATGATCGAGTTGGTCGTAATAATCCGCCATGATCTGAGATCTCGGTGCCAACGGCAAAGTCCCTGAAGGAGAAAACCGATATTTACCCTTTCCTTAGAAGCGAGTCCGACCGTGCGAGTACGAGTGATGGTGCTCACGGTGACTCATGGAGTGGAACCCCTGAGCGGCCCGGTACCTCGCCTGCTGTTCGGGCGTCATGCAGGTGCACTGGGGTTCCCGGTCCAGGCCGGCCTTGGAAGGTGAACTCGGAGTGCTCTGTGCGTGTCGCCGGCTGCTGTTCTTTCGATGACGTGGAGCTTCCATCTTCAGGGAATAACTCGACGAAGCCTTCCGCGAGAACTTGAACGATGGAGACTGCAACGATTTCAATCCAGAAAAATCTCAAGTTTTCACTCAAATACCACGTATATGCATTCGGAACGAATTCATCAGTCACGATCGGGATGATGCTCTCGACGGTTTACGATGTACTAGGGCCAGCCAAATGAAAACAGCAAATAATAATAAATATGTTGTGCATGCAGCGTTTATTAAAAATATTCTCCTCGGGCATTGAGGTACTGATCTCACCTCTCGACCCCATATATTTGGCATTGTCGTAGGACAAGATTGGCGTCTGGTGGAAGCATGTTCTCACTGTCTCTACCCCGTCATCGTTCGAACGCTTATCTTCGGTCCTTCAACGTTGCCTTCATCGGGATAGCCTGGTGTCATCGTCAAAATGATGACACCAGGCTTCATTACATTCCATGACTTTGGCCAAAAAGCATGGTCGCGCTGCATATGTGCGAGACGAACAACCGCGTGAACATTTTTCTGGTCTTCGGTCGGGCACTTCGGTATCCGTTTGGCACGAACCAAATGGTGCTGAATACAATCTCGGACGATCGTGTGCACAGACCCTTGGCTAATCCCCACTTCTTTGGCTATGGCATCCAGAAAGGCGCACCTGTTTGCCGTATTGACCTCGTTCGCCTTCGCGTGACGACGATATCGTCTCTTCTCCGTCCGGTTTTGTCCTCAACATTGAGGCGTCCACCAAGAAACGTTTCCCGCCATATGTCATGTATCAAACGTGTCTCACACAAACGGCAACCATTCTTCAAAGTATATCTAGTGGTTTCGCACCTTCTGCAAGCAAAAACTGTCTGACGGCCCTCTGATGTTCGTTGGTGGAGGTAGCCATCTTTACCAGGTTACAGCGTAGGTGATCTTCTGCAAGCAGTGGTGTCAATTACATTTTCAGCACTACATCAGTGTACCTAAGATTTATATACGATTTCATAAATATGTGTCGTTTTTATGATTATTGGCGCGAGTTTTGCTGTTTTCAGTTGACTAGCCCTAGAATTAGTGATCCTCTGAATTTCCTGGCAAAATCGCAGCCTGATGTCTCTTTCGGGTCTCTTTCGTTCTTCCGGAAATAAAAGTTTCATCCATCACGGAACTTATCGTGTTTGAATCCTTTAAGGTTTAATGTGGCAGCAAATGTTACACCAGAGTACTTTTCGACGTGATCAGGACTTGAAACGTCATTTTCATAATTGTAATGTGGACTCTACCAAGGAAGCGGGGAACGATGATTATGAGTCAATTAAGGTAAATTAATTCGGTCGTAAGGGATTGGATACAATTTTTTAATAAATTCAACCTCTAAAAAGGTTAAAGTGCGTATTCTGTGAAATGAGTGATTCTGAGAAATATCTCGAGAAGGAAGTCCATCGCCGAATCGTAATTTAAACATTTATTTTGCAGATGATCCATTGAGGATCATCATGGGAGTTTCTTGGAGATTCCTCAAGTGGGAAACGTCGATTCGAGTTACGATCGTACAATGCGAGAGAATGGGAGGTGGAATGTATGCAAGATGAGGGAATGGGAGGCATTTTCCTCGAGGAAGGACGAGGAAGGACGAGGAAGAACGTGCCAACGAGGGAAATGGGAAAATCCTTGGCGCATGGCTCCGACATTTCCATAGCATTTTCTCCGCAGTTTCCATCGCAGTTCTCTCTCTCCATCTCGCATGACGAGGTCCGATAAACACTCCAATGTTATCGCGAATTTTCTCTCCTCACGAAGGAGAACACGCTTAAATGTTCGACCGTTACACACACATCGAAATAGTCCTGCAGTTTTACATCGCTGCAGTCTTGCTGCGCTTTTTCCTCATCAAATCTCTGAACAGTGTGAGAAGGAACCTGGGTGACGTTCGTTTCATCCATTTTGTTGATAACCATACTATTTTGAATGTGTTCTGCTTATTTATCTTTTTTTTTTTTTTTTTTTACTAGAAGATGCTCCTTATTGCGAGATTTCATCCATCTCATAATTTCCCAGAAACTGATTCGAAATAAACCTCGTTCAAATATTTTTGGCACCTTTGTGAATGACAGATGTCCTCGAAAAGGAAGCGGGGCAGAGAATGAAATATGTAGGGCATTTTGAAAAGTTGAAATTAAAGCTCACGGTGCTGAGAGAGTGGACCGTGAGAGAGTCACAGAACTGCATTGCATCAGACATGCACTACGTGGTACAAAGAGGTAAAGCGTCGTTTGGAACGGAGCGAGGATCATTATTTGAATGATGTCGTACGAGAGAGGTTTTATAAGGGGTTCATGAGGATATCCATTCACTGGTAAGGGAGTGAACTCACGCAGCATTCGCGAAACTGCCTGGCATCGAGGGGCGAAGTGAAGTTGAGTCCCCACGTGTCCCCAGTCATCGGGTCTTTCCAGTACACAAAACATTCCGATGCTTGCCCGATCTTAGTTCCTGAGGGAAAAAAAGGGAAGAAATCAAGATCCACGTCCTACTTACTCCCCTTTAGAATCTCGTGCAAGTCGAAGCGAGTTGAAGTAGGTGAAATAAAATAAAATTGTTTCTGGATATTTTCCAATAGTCTATGGAATTTGAAACCAAGGCTGAATTCGAAATTCAACATGACACTTGTCATTTGAGGGATATTGACATTCCAAGGAAGCCCTTTGAGAGTTATTTACTCTCAACGTAATTCTCAGTCAATGGTTTCAATATTTTATTCTATTGACTTGCATCATCTCTTCATTTGCATTCTTTTCACTAGTTCTTCTGCAAGGTGTCATGCTTCGAATGCAATAAATTAGTTGTATTTGAATAACACTTCGGCATATTTGATGAGCGGTTCATTGAATGCTTCAATAGATATAGCAATAACGTTTGGCAATGAAAAGGATACTTTTAACATGTGAAACAGCTTTGCAGAAGCTTTGCAGAAGCAGATGTGTGAAGATCAATTCAGTTCACAGAGTTGGGGAGATTTCTGAGTGCAGGGTATGACATTGTCTATCATGTCAATTTTACCATGACTATACCTTTTTAGAAATAACTTTTTTAGACACTTGAAAATAAATTGTGCCTCTATTGCCATGATTCCAGGGCGCAAAAATGATTGCCCTAATTGCCATACTAAACGAAATTGATCATTCAAGGCAATAAAACGATTCTTTGATTAAGCTACTGTATGGAGGCTTCATAGTTTTATTGTCATTTTTTATGCTCAGCAGAGATGAGGACTAGTACAAGTCTCATCGAAAACTTCGCAGTTCCAAGATTCGCACTGTCGCCTTTTGATATTTCTCTTCCATTTAAAGAGACGCGCCTACGAGAATGCCACTAAGGACCGAGAGCTTCATCGTCGGCTTGGAAGAGAAATCGAAGCCATACTTCAAATGGGTGCCATATTTCTTGCCCTTCATAACGGGAGGCCAACGAGATAAAGGCCCATGACAGAACGAAGATTATGAGGGGAGAAAAAGGGAGAGAGAGAGAAAGTCATAAACGTATGATGGGAAAACGATGGGGAGATGCCGTGTGAGACCCTCATTTGACCTGACAGGCCTCAGCCTGGGTGTTTGCCGGCATGAATCCAATCAGAGATGGAGACGGGGATCGATCCAGAGTCGGTCAGAGTCCTGTAAGGCACGACATAAATACGCTTGCCTCATTGTTATGGGGGAGGCGTCGATAATGGAATAACGCCAATTAGGGGCTGCTTCTACGAATGTTCGAGATGGATGGCGTCGGATACCTTCCCATCCTGTTCCCTTCCTTTTCTGCTTTTTTCCTCTCCCTTTTCCCTCCAGATGAGAAGCAGAACGGTACTTTTCATCGTTCTCTTCTCCATTTCTGGCATCTTTCTTTTCTTGCGTTCTTTCACCTGTAATCGCGATGTGCGCATCCACGAAGTTCGCGAACACGTGAAACTTTCACAAGAACGGCATATCTTCCACATTGAAATGGGTCTTTTCTTTTAGAGTTTGCCAGACGAGGCATTGTCGTACGAGACGAAATATTCATTTTTCCCCCTTGCATCTGCCAGATGCAGTAGTTCCGTAAGACTCGGAGGACCAGGATGAAATATAGCAATACCCGGCTGGACGAGGCGGACGTCGAGGATCTTATCCACTTGAGGGTTGTAGGCAGTGATGTGAAAGATGGCGTCGGGACTATCCTGGATGCAGGTGATGTTGACGGGGACGAGGTCCTCGCTCACTTGCTGCCACTTGAATTGACCCGATCCAGTGCTGCTCACGTGGAACACCTCCGCCCATAACCTACACACGTCATTCCCAGTCAAAATAAAATATGGATTACATTTCATAACTTCTCTGGAAGGTTTCGCGACGAATTCGGACGTGCCCTCGTTGCGTAACAAGAGAGTAAATTCGCGATTGAAATGAACGATAGAAATCAGACTGGTGCACTGGGTGCTTCGGTTGTCCATCCGCTAGAGAGAGCTGTGTAAAGTGCCCTAAGAACGAATAAGGTTTGGCTTGAGGCCGTCTTTGTCCTATAGCTGCAATCCGTGCTTCTACCTTGAAGACAGAAGCACGTTTCCCTTCCACAAAGGAGAGCTGTGAGATGCGGTCTCGAATCAGGGTCTGAAAGGGGACCTTTAGCTATAGAACAGCGTTGGAATTCTTTTTTTTCAGCGACGCATTTCTTAGAATCATAATTCTTAAATTAGATTAATAATAGGTTCTTTTCAATTTCAGTTTCTTCCTATTGAGGTCGGGATTGTGGTTCTGACCGGTGAAATCCTGTACAAAGATAAATATAAGAATTTTCCGTGCAGAAGGCAAGAGACAGCACCTGATAATGTCTGTCTAGATCTCTTAAGAAACTTCTCCAGTAATTGAGCTGGATGTAACAGCGGAAATGGCAAAAAGAGCCATTTCCATGGCCCAGCTCTGAACTTCTTGGCTCTACTCCATGTAAACGAGTGATTCCTTTGTGTAACATTGCCTTTTGGTTGTCAGTCATTAGGATCCCTTTCCAGTGGGTTTCTTCTAGTCGTTTCAATCATCTTCGATTAAGCGATGGATATATTTGCACAATCTCTATTTTCTCGACTTGTGAACACCCTGAAACATGGGACGTGAGAGCTATTTTCAGGATCCAACTTGTCTCCTTCCCTCCCTCCATCCAAGCCAAAATCTATCATCTTTAATATTGCAAGATGAGCATGACTTCGAAAATGGCAGGTTGCCATTGTACAGTAAAAGGCCTTCCGAATGTTAGGAGTATAGTAGAGCCCCCTTGCCCCGCCCAGAAGATGTGGTTCATTGCGATGGAGAAGAGAATCGGGAATACTACGATGCAGGAATGTGGAATTAGATGGAAAATTCTTGCTTTCACTGCAAATCCGTCTAAGTTTCCGTCCTTTGCGGCTCCACAGCTGGCTGGGGTCATGGAGTGCGAACGTCGGCTCTCCCATCTTGAAGGAAAAGCTATATTTCTTTCCGCTGCGATTACGTTCGATGAGGGTGGTGTAACATACTCATCTGTCGCCTTTTGGCTCAAAACATGTTATCGTCTGACTCCAGCCTTCTCCTCGTCTTTCGAAAAAGATTGCAAGATTCCGATCTGACTCGATTTATTATTGCCGCTATAATGCAGTGTAAAACAGCGCATTCATTTGGTGACGCAACTTCAGCAGGGATCCCATGAATACACTAATTCCTGCTTGTATCCAAGATATTCCGGCTTGCTGCGCGTTCCACGCGATGTCTCCTGGTTCTGAAGTTCCCATATGGACAAAATGAGAGCCAAAAGACTCGGAATGCATCTCTCGTTTCCTCTGAAGATCAGGGAGGCTTTTAAGGAAATATACCTACTTCCTTTGCATGCCTCGTACGTCAGAAACCATTGATCATGAAAACACTCGAGGTTCTCCCGACCAGGACGGCTTATGAGCTAATTCCGAAGGTGAAATGAGGCGGATGTTCACATAATGAAATATTTGGTGGAAGAGATGAGAAAAGAGCCTGCACTAACAGTATAGCCAAGGCTCGAGCATCTTCACTCTTAGGAAGGAGCACCGTGAATCTAAAGAGAAAAATGGACTTTCACAGTATCCCTGCTGGAGTTGCGGAATTAATTGAACAAATACGTGGTAACTTCAAAAAGTTTGTGGTACACTCCTAGAAAAGAGTGAGCGATATCCAAGAAAGGGAGCGAAACTGGAGTTAGCGGTTTTACTCCCTAAAAACGAGGAAGTGCAATCGATAACTACTCCTTTATAAGAGCAAAATCATATCTTTTTTAAGAGCGTGAAACGAATGAGGGGGAGTACTTTTCGAACTAGTAGAAAAAGTTTGTTATTGTTCTCAGGAAAGAGCGAGGTGAGTGGCTCCTTGTTTTTAAGGGAGTAAAACTGCTAACTCCAGTTTCGCTCCCTTTCTCGGAAATCGCTCACTCTTTTCTAAGAGTGTAAGGTTCTATAAGGACCTACAGATGCCAATATTGGCGGAGATCCTATATTGGGCCTTGGGAGAGCAGGGGACAATTTCTTCATTATGGCCTTTATCCGCAATTTTGTAGAATTATTTTTTTTTATGGCCTCTTCGTTCTCTCCGGAGGATGGAAGTGGGGTATATATATTCTTTAATTAAATAATTTGGAATGCCATCAAATCTTGCGTGAAAACGGGGAAAATGTACCATGCCTTAGGAACCACTTAGGCATTCCAACGGCGCAAATGGTTTACAATAAGCAAGACCTTCGCCAAGGTGCCTCCAAGATCAAGTGATCATTAATATCAGTTGATAAGTGGAACCTAGTAAAAATAGCCTTAATGCTATTTTTACTAGTTTCCACTAGGTTCCGCTAGGTTTTACTTTCCTACCTTTACTACTTGCTTACTTTAATGCCCCCATTAGAAATATCCAGGCTGTCATATAGCTCACGAATTGTCATTTTTTAAAGCAGCGGTATTCTAAGTGCAGCTCGCGGGCAGCATGCGGCCCACTAAGTTTAACTAATAGTTGACTTTTTCACATTTAACCGTTTTATTGGCACTCATGAATAATCGCGATTTACATTTTTTAATTTTCAGATTTTGAATCCTTCGCTGAAAACTAGCAAGTTTAGTCATCGTTAAGATATTGAGATACATATAATACATAGTAGATTGTAACGAAAGTTTTTATGCATAAATACAAAATTTATTTCAGCTTCATTTTCTAAATAATTTTTTTTTGTTTATATACTAGTATATACAACCTAGTATATAAACAAAGAATAAATTATTTAGAAAATGACGCTGAAATAAATTTTGTATTTATGCACAAAAACTTTCGTTACAACCTAGAATTTAGATTTAGATGCTTATGTACTTAGGTATGCACCTGTTGAACATGCCTAAAATTCGGAGCATCCATATTCGCAGAGAAAATGTATTTCCTCGCAAGTAAATCAAGTTGAGGATGAAAAAAAGGAGTATTTATCGAACATACAACTTGTAACAAAGCAGTACCTAGAATCAATGCGTTTACAAACAAGAACCCTGACTCCAAGTAGTGGCAGTTTCCGTGACTACGAGAGGTGGAAGTGTGTGTGGATGCCGTAGGAATAGGCAGTTTTCGATTTTTGCTCATTTTTTAATGGGACTTCCCGGTTTGGAGTAGCTTAACCACAAGATCGATGGCCAGATAAACCATGCAGAAATGTTGGATCTTTTTCAATGCGGCCCACTCCAGGTTGACTAACATTATTAGTGCGGCCCACTTTGGTCACTTTGAGTACATATAACATTGAACATATAACATTGAATCAATGTTGTTTCAATGTTATATGGTACAAGGGATACCATCGAGCAGCCCGGAGTGCTTGTTTCATAAGCAGCAGCACAGAATATGCCGAATGTTTATTATTCCCATTTCCCCAATTTCGCATTAAATTTGACGACACTCTGAATTTGCAATTTCGTTTCATCATTTTCCTTGGGAAGTCAAAGAGTCCATACAAAAAATCGTGAAAAATTGGAGAAGAAGCCAATAATCAAGGAAATTTTCCCCTCCACGCCCAAGACCCAATATAGGATCCCCACCAAAATTGGCATTTGTTGGTCAAGGAATAAAGGAGTTATAAAAACTTTCCATGATTTTTTTTAAGCCACTACGTAGTAGCATAATCCGTACAAAAACATTTTCCTCTAGGCTTTTCCTAGGCTTCCTGCGGATGCAAAATGTCGACAGTGTAGCGGGAAGTCAATCACAAGAAATTATTCTGAACGACTGTAATCTTATGGAAAGCTTTTTTGACGGGGCTGAACAGCCAAAGTATATGCACAACAAGGGGCAGTACTGCTTCTGCTGGATTTTCAGAGCAACTCTGGTGGTACGTGATCTGCAGCGTAAGTCGATGGAGGCAATGCCATCTTGTCTCCAAAGACGAGGTATTATTGCTGCAGATCACGAGCTGCCACTGCAGAACAATAGTAAATCCAGATATACACTGTCTAAAAAAAAGATCACTTTAAAGACCACTCCTTCATTTATTTTAATTATCTTCACCCTATTTTCACATGAGCCTCGCCTTTTTTAGGACATGAAATCACAGACGAATGGGAACGGTTCCTGCCAAGAGGCTCGTGAGAGATGGAGTACAGCTCTTGCCGGTTCATCAAGAAGTTCATTTGGGAAAAAAGACCACGTCATAGTCTTGATAAGTTGCACCAGGCTAGGAGAAGGGTGCAGATGGCTCTTTCACCGTCTCTTTACATTCTTCAACTTTGAAATGTTCTTGAATTTTAAGAAATACGTGAAATTCTATAACACTTGGCAGGAACCTTTCTTATTCATGGCATGAGGGGAAAAGAATGAACCTTGCACGATTTTTAATGGAAATATTTAAGAAAAAATTACGAAATTGCCCCCCCCCCCTTTTCTTTTAACAGTGTAGTAAATAATAACGCAAGCGATACGGTTACATCTCAATCCTCTTGAATGGCTTCTTTTGGAGGTCATCATGTCGTATAACACGATGGAACAAAAAAACTCTTTAGAGAAGAACACTTTTGCAAAGGTAACTCCGCATCGTTAGCACTGTATACGGCAGGTGAACAATGCCTGAGTGAAAAGTGTGTGTTTGGCAAAGCCGTAGCTCGTAACGGCAGCGAGGAGCTGAACGTGGACCCCTGATTGAGGCCAGCTGCTTCTTTCATGACATAGACACAGGTGCTTCACATCTTCCCTTTCCATCAGATCATGCTTGCCAAGCGCCATACTTCCTGCTTCCGCATATTTCCTGTCTTTTCTGCCAGAATCCAAAACGCAAAACAATATCAACTTTTGGTGTGCGAGCCTGTGACTGCAATAGAATCGGAGCTCGTCAAGTTGGCAGAGGCGTTTAAATAAACACGACGTTCTATGCCGCAAATGATCCATTAGCGTGCACCGTTTGACGCAGTTGGAGCAGAAATAGCCAAAATCTAGAACCACGAAGGAGATTTTCAGGTAACTGACCGCAAAAGGTGTCCCTCTCGACGCCTGGTAACAGCCCAAGGTGAATCTTCGTAGCGATAGGCCCTCTTGATCAATGGGGCACAAGAACAACTTATTTTGTTCCCCATCTCCTGAAGAAAAAATATAAATGTTGAATTTATGAAAACTGATCGATCGATTAAAATATTTATTTCTAATTTTTCCTAAAAGGAAGAGCACTTCAAAAGAGCGATATGCACCGGATCGACTCAACTTGCATCGGCTTGACTTCCTAATGGGGTTGTAAAAATACACAACCAGTTGGATCGATTCCCAGAGGAACCGAATCATGTTTTTCGTCGATTCACGCTGAATTGATCTGGTGTGCGCCGGCCATTATCCCATGAACAATTCGGGGGAAAATCGCTTTCAAGTTTCAGCTACACCGTGCAGCGAGTCGTACCTTTAGTGATTGCATGCCGGGATGAGTAGAAACGGGAACTCACGGTATGTGCAGGGCTATGCCACAACTGCAACTAGGGACGCAGTGAGAAGGCATGGAAGGTGCTGGAACTCTGCCAGGACCACCTCCTTCCACGCTCCCGCACATGTCATCCCGCTCACGCCTCCTGTCGCGATGCGTCTTCAGGGCAACCGAAACGGACTGCGGTCCGAAGGGCGGTGTGGGTGGGGAAGCAGAGTAAGAAAAGCCCAAAGAAGAAGGGAGAAATCGATGGCCGCCTCCTCGTCATCCTCTTCCCCCCCGCATCGATCTATGAAGCGGCAGCTGAGCAGAAGCTCTCCTTCTCCTCTCCTCTTTTCTCTCCACCATCCCTTCCCATCTCCCTTCCCTCATCTATTGCCTTCATTCGTCTCGGCTACCTGCTGATTTGTTTCCGAGAAAAATAAAACGCACCTGAAGAATGCCTGGAATCAGCGATGCGTCACCCATTCCTTTCTGACAAATCTCTCTCTCTCTCTAAAAAAAAAAAGGAATTTTACAAAGCGGTAGGAAAAACAGAAACATCATAACCAATGCTTCCTAGAGATGGACTAAATACATTTTCAGCACATAAACGGATGGACAATTTTCGTTGAATTTAAAAATTAACTTCGAATTCCATTTCTCACGAGGATAAAATAGTAGCCCCTCCATTATTTTCCACGGAATGATGGCTATTTCTTGTATTCACTGCATTGCTAATTACAAAGTTAATAAAAATGAATGCAAAAACGGAAGATACGGCATGCAGTTCATCATAGTAATCTGTGACAGGCACTAACCCCATCAATCATGCTATAAATGGATTGTTGTGGGCATGATACGAACATCATCATGCGATTGCATTCACTGCTATTGATTCCCATTCACCATTCACGGCATTCTTTCCGGTTCCGGAGGCATTAGCTGCCTAAATCTACCTATATTGTGACCTCTGTGTCTATGCGAGACTGGCCCCGACCTCCGGGATCTTAGTTTGCACTTAGTTCGGAGTGACAGCGTAAAGACAGAGGAGAGAGAAAGAGAGAGAGAGGGAGAGGGAGGGGTCCAACATCTCGATTCCACGCCTGCTCAGTTTTAGGCTGAGATGTAACCGTATCGCTTGCGTTATTATTTACTACACTGTTAAAAGAAAAGGGGGGGGGGGGAAGGAAGAGAGAGATAGAGAGAAAGCGGAATGAATGGGCCGTTGCCATGGGAATCCTCCGGATCTCTCCCTCGGTAACCATGACAACCGGCATCCCTCTCTCTCTCTCTCTCTCTCTCGCTCTCCCTCCGTCGCCTGCATCTGTTACGTCATCGTACTTGTGAATCCAACATCTCGATTCCACGCCTGCTCAGTTTTAGGCTTTTACATTTTTACTACGACTGCTTAACACCATGAGGCAACTCCCTCGTGTTGCAGGAGAGCTGCACGAGCAGGCTAGCCTTCAATTGGTACAGATAATTAGACACGCAGTTGATACTCGTGGGCTCCCGGAACCTGCAACTTTACTTAAATCAATTTAAATATTGAATTGGAATCCAGCAGACTAAAAAACACGCATGGGCGCTACAAAATATTTTTGCTACCACACTCACCCGTATCTCAAGGACAACTGTTGAGTCACAGTAATTTCGCAGGGATAACAAGGAAATATAGATTAGATATATGTACTTTCTGCTAAGTTCTAGGTTATTTCGTTTCTATCATGGCAAATTTAACACAGCACTGCACCCGTCCTTGTCGCAAGTTTTCATTGCCTCAAGTTTACATCATGAATGTTTATCTTGTGCTTCTAGCGAGTGAGTCATTTCAGGTTGGCGAGTCGGAATGCCTCCAAAAACCGATCCTTTGCGAGGGAATTATTCACTGCTCTTTCCGACGCTTAATATTCATATTTTGCCATAGTGAAGCAGTGCATTAAGAAAAAATTCTAGGGTCTTGTTGAAAGGGGTCTACAATGTTTAAGAGAAGGGTATTCTCAGGATTTATGAAAACACCACCACTTTCGTTGGGGTACATCAAAACAAAGCCTGCAGTCGCATCTCAGCTTCAGATAGAACTTTCCTGAAGAATCGAAGGAGACGGCCTTAATTTCGTTCCATTCCTATTTCAAACATACCCGTCGAGTCTCCCGAAGGCTAGTCAGAAATTCTCGTTGATCTATCGTCGGTCCATATGTGAGGAGATTAGCTCATCTTGACGAATGATTAGGCCGGCCAAGTGACGTAGTTGCCCCATCCACCGTCCCTTCACTGGGTGGAATGTGGCAGCAGCGGCTAATGTACAGCTAATGGGGCGAAGAAGGTTCACAATACCCTCCCGTGGGGAACTGTGAAACCTTTGACAGTTTCCTATGGTTTCGCACAAAGGTCCCAGAGGAAGACAAAGGAATTCCTCGACACATTTCTCTGAAGAGGTAACACAGATTGGGGACTCACCAGGCAATTCCGGCCCGGAGGTTGAGGTTGGGGGCGGATGGTTCGTGGTTCTACTATTCACCTGACGACGTGGACCCCAACACTCTCTCACCGCTGCGACTCCTTGCTCGAGGGGAAATGCCACGATCAGTACAGTCTGAGCCTGATTTTCCTAGAAAATGCAGGCAAGCAAGCATCTATATGTGAGACATGGTCTAATAATGCAGTGGTCCGTGACGGTATGGGATTCTTTACGATTATTATTCGGGAGGTCTGATCCTGGCAGGGTATTATTTCATGATGATTGAGTTATAGATGATAGAGATTTCACTGGCATGGTACTTAAATCTCGCCCATATGAAAATGGGAGAGATGAGGTGGGTTTTGCCAAATTATGCGTAGTTACGAAGTATTTTTTAGAGATGCGTAAAATATGCATTTACGTGTTTGTTTTTTCAGTATTAGTTCCGCTTCGTGGAAAGTCGGTTCATAACTGGATTACTTGTGGGACATGCATGGATGTCCAACTGTGATCTGCTGTTGGCACGATGAAGGGTCAACTGGGCGTGCCCAACTATATGTCAGCTTCTGTGAACTGTAAGTCAACCATCTGCCAATCACTGTCCAGCTTATGTATGTATCGACTAAAGGCTAGTGATGGTCTGCTCAAAAACTTTTGACTGGGAGCATACCTTATGGATTTTTGTGGATTAGGCTCACTCAAGAGACGCATGGGAAGTAGGCGGTCGGAGGGAATAAATGAATTTGGGAAAAATTGCAGGGAAGATGGGAGAAAAGATACCCCTGACTATGCTGAGGAGGAGCCTCTTAGGAAACAGATGATGGGTTGTTGTCAACGTTCTGGGGCGCCAAATCGAGCATGATGGATGGTGGAGAAAATGAAAGTCATCCCCTAAAAATCTTGGTAAATTCATTGCCATAATAACCAAGCAACCCTCTGCATTGCATTATTTCCGCTTTCAGGGGGAAGAATATGTACAGGCATTCTCCTATTTACGTCGTTCCGATTTGCATTGTTTCGCTATAAAGTCGTTAACCACGTAATATGGGAACAATTTCGTTTTACGTCGTTCCTGTCCGATATAACGTCGTTTTTGTCTGCAACGTCGACCACATGGTACCCCAACGGAGCGGCAACGCTGCCTCAGTCTCTCGCGTTGGCCCGTGCAGTCAGCATAGAGTTACCATTTTGTCTCTAATATTTGGTTAAGTGAGGCTTAAGTTAGGTTGGCGAGTACGAAAATTTGACCCCGGGAACGCATCCCCCATTATAACACAAAGTCTATGGGAAAAACATATCCCATCTACGTCGTTTCGATATAAGTCGCCGTTTCTAGGAACTCATCCCCGACGTAAATCGGAGAGTGGCTGCATATTTTTACTCAGAAGAACTTGAGTCCATCACCTGTCCGATTGCAAGCAAACCACAGGACTTCAAATTGAAATATTCCATGTATTTTGCACTTCAAAAAGAGTTATTATTAGCGTCAGAATGTATTTATTAAAATGAGAGTTCGGTGACGGACCCGTGCTGATAAGCTACATTTATAATCTTCCTCTATTTGTACCAGGTTTTCAAAATGGCTAAAATGAGCTAGAGTAAACAGCTACTTTGGAAAGACTGTTGGCGTTTGAGCTAAAGGCTTTTCAATGTATCTATCCCCCTTTCTAACTTTTACTCACTCTCACCAAAGATATTGGTCAGTTCAGTGACATCGTGCGAAATTGATGTACATTTTTTGCTAAAACCTTAAAACCTTAGGTGGATCTAACGATGAGCACAGTAAGAAACTTTGTAACGATGCAGAGAAGCTGTTGAAAATAGTGTCACGATGATGTCGTTCGTTCAAAGAGCTTCGTCTATCCAGCTGTGTGACCGCCAGATTCCCCACACGGAGTGGATGGGAAAATTGCGTGCCTCCGGCAGCTCTCTGGGTTTCGCGGAATCCACAGGTCCACCTCTCCATTCAAAAACTTCATCGATTCGTAACAACTTCTCATGAATCTTGTGTTCTCAAACTGTGCATTTCTCCGGTAAGAGATTCATGTGCTCATGTTTCTTGAAACCCTGGAGTGAACAAGGATTGTTCCCTCTGATCACTTTTTCCTTCGGTTTCCTTGGATTACCTTGGTGTATATTCAGCTTAATAACTGAGCTCCTCGCTGCATGCATCAGGACCCGAGCCAAATCGCCTTTTTTCGTATGACAATACATTTTTTGTTATGAAAATGCCATTTTATTTGCATTAGCCTTCGGATGATGCGACGGGCTGACTGACGATCTTGAGGCCTGAACCAGAAGGAACTGTAAGACTTAGTCCCGAGGTGTCCTCAATCAAACTGAGACGGATCTACAAAATGGCTTATCTTGAAAGTTACCGGAAAACTGTAGCCGCAGCAATTCATCTCAAGAGTCTCCTTAACAATGGAAATTTATATCTACTGAAGAGCTATTTTATCACTTTGCAAAATGTATTTTCTAGCTAAATCTAGGATCATCGATTGCTGCAGTTATTACATAAAATCTTCTGGCAAAGAAGTGGGATGGGGGGATTGTGAATCATATTTCCGCCCGTTAAACCACTGCGATAGTGAGGATACAGAGTCACGCGATCGCATCAGCGTTAAAATAAGGAGGAAACAAGGTTTGACACGTCCTCGGGTTCTTTTAACTCACCCATACCAGTTGAGATTAAGATCTGACCGTTGCTACTTTCTAATCGTAGGGCATTCTGAAATGAATGCGTGCAATTAATTTTCCTTCTTTATTGTATTTGTGGTACTTGGAACTACCTTGGAACTTAGAGCTCTTGCAAGGTCTGTGTGAGGTACTTCGTTTCTGTGTTACTTTAGACCATTAAGCTTCAGATCGAATAAAAATATGTTTAGCTTACAGGTTAAGCAAGTTCCGGAATGGCTATCAAGTCAGCCTCGGGTTATACGAACTGGCGGCGGAATCGAGACATTCCTGTCATCTACCGGGAGAACTGTTAACTATGCTTAGAGAGATGATCGATAGATGTCTGAACTATGCAGGATGGTCCCATCCACGGTTGGAGACTCACATGCCTTCTTCAGCGAGCGCTCTCTAGGCACGAGAACTTCAATGCATTTCATCCCACTTCATTTTTAAGTTGGAAAGTCATGGTTCCAGATAAAAATAGTTGGATACTCGACACACTCGTTGACACAGCGGGCGCCTCTTTCTCAATTTTCGTGATCTTAACAATTTTATCTTCAATGACCTTCGACGATCTCTTGAGGTTAGGAAAGTTTCCTTTTAGATGGGAACAACTCCTAGCGACTTCCGTCAAGACAATTTTTCTTCTCCATTTTAAATCTCGGTATAATTGCTCTATGTTGGCCTCTGTCTGTCTCCTCTCCCCATCTCCGAACTCTTGAATAATGAGTGCATTAATTAATGCCACCTATTAAGCTTCTCGTTTTATTCCTTTGACAACCGGTGTGAATAAATTCAGGGCGTCTTCGGCAAAGTCGAGTCATGGTATCTTCCTTCTCTTTTTTATCACCGAAGTTTTGGACAATGGCAGCTTTTAGGTGGGTAACTGATCGGAGACGGTCTCGAATCGTTTCATGCCGTGTTCCGAAAGAGTAGCCTATGTTCCAATAAATGCTGATAGTACCGTGCAAATGAATGCGTTTTTAGCTATCCTTTTCGCGAGATATGCAACAGCTGATTAAAATTTAAACGACATATATGGAATTCTTTTTTATTATGCCCAAGTCATGATTCCTCTTCCTTTCGTTACGACAGGCTTGATTGCATCTCGAAAGCTTCCCTCGACTTTTCAAGGGTGAAATTGTGCTGTCCATTGGAGTTCAGCGTTGAAGAGAAAGATTAAGAGGCGATATAAACTTGGCTTCGGCTAGTATCGATGAACATTCGTTGCTAAGATCATCTCCACAGCAACCTTTTCATCCGTATTTCTTCTGGGATGCGAAAGGTGCGCCGAAAACTCGTGAAATGTAACATTATCCCTAAGAACAAAACCTCTATGTCCACCGTGATGAGCTGGAACAGCGTATCCCATATGGATTTTCACTCACAACCGCGAGCTATCACCATTTCTGTATTTGCGCATGAGTTGATTTTCGTACTGTTTCGTTCAATTTCGGCTCGACACTATTGCAAACCATTTCTGGATGCAGATCCAAGAGGAATTTCCCGAGATTGAGAACGTGACGGCAACAGAAATCCGTGTGTTGCGAAAATGGTTGCTAAGACGATTTTTCCAGAAAAAGTAGTGGAGGGAAAGAGGTTTTCGGTTCTGCTGCGAAATGGCGGCACTGCACCGATCCATAATATCTCCGAATGCAAAATGTCTCTCTCCGGGTTCAGAGCAATCAAAGACACACACAGACACCCTATGCGAGCATTAAATAAGGATACAAACGTCTCCAAGAACTCGGTGGCGCATATTTGGCTTATGAGCCTAGGAGGGGAAGGGGGCAGGATTGCAGAAAGGGGACTTCCAAGGCCAAGGGAGTGCTGAGCGAAGGTTCTCGGGTAAAAAAGAATCCTTCAGAGGGGGGGGGGGGGGGGGCGCGAAAGGCACTGTGAAGGGGTGCGAGGGAGGACAGTCCTTGAAAGCCCTGTCCCCTGCCCCCCCCCCCCCTCCATAAAATACGCAAAGTGCACAGTCGCCAAGAACTTGCAGGGTGCTTTCTTGTAAGATTCCATCCGATACACTAGTTGGACAGCCTCATCTACTTCCCACCACTCTGAGTCATTACCATCGCAACATACCTTGGAAACTATATAATATATATTATATCATTTTATAACGTAAGTTTTTTAGCTAGCATTTTATGGGCTCATCCTCCAAAAAAGTTTCCAAATGAATTGAACTTGCGATCCATATACAGCCTTCTCACCATCCACGGTTTTTGAAAGCAGCTGAGGACATTTAGTAATTTCCTATTCATTTCTGAATCAACCATTGTTCCAGCGACTGTCAACAGCAAAAAGGACCAATTATTCCATCCGCATCATGTTCGGGGTTTTCGGTTCGGGGGACGCTGCATACTTTTTTATTCAGCAGATTCTCCCCATGGGATTTTTGCGAAAGCCACGCGACGGAAGTACTTCTCCATGCTTCTGTAAATCTCATCTAAAAACGGGAAAGTTTTATTTTAAAGAAAGGCTCCTTTGATTTCGGAAGTGAATCGACTCTAATGTAAAATCATGCTGCACAAGAGATCCAGTAGATGATGAGAAAGAGGACGTATAGGATGGGATAGGCAAGACGAGAAATTGTTTCCATCCTCGACGTCACACCAGGCATTCCCTGCGAAAAAAAATCTCGTACAGTAATATGTATGTATAACATATTATACGTAACCTATATGCATATATGGATTGCAGCTGACGCAGAGGCTAGTATGGGAAATCTTTATTTTCTCCTTTAGATCAACATACTCCATTTGAAGTTGGAACCTTTTGCAGGAATAACAAAAAAAAGTCTATCATGCATTGTTTCCACACGTTAGAGGTGTTTTTGACCTAAGCTGGAAATCAGCAGAAAAATGAGTTATCAGTATGGACTAATGGGTTTTCAGTTAAAAAACTTCTAATTTCTCTGAAAATACCAAAGTCGAAGTGTTAAAATATCAATATTCAAGTGAATAAAATAAAAGACATTGAAGTGGCATACCTTTTAAGTATCAATGTGCTTAAGTGTTGAAATGTGACATTTTGAAGGAAAAAAAGTGAGAGTTAGGCAAAGTTGACTCCTGACCGTAAACCCATAACTATTTGCTCTTGTTGCTGGCATGTTACTATTTTTTAATTATAGAAAACTTGCACTGAGCATAGGCTGATATGTCCTTGCCAAGGCAAGACTATGTGCAATTATTGAAAAGAAACTGGACATTGTATATGGGAACTTGAGGATGTTGGTAGTCGAATAGAGGAAAGGTATTTGCCCAGTGGTTGCGTATCATCTACGTCACATTGAATATCCCTTCCATTAAAAACATAATTTGTGCAATCGATGGTTTCGATTAGTCTTTTTTCAATTAAGAATGGATGATTCATTAGACACCGATTATAAATTAGAAACAGAGAGTTGACCGAAAGTTTCTTGAGATTTTCCTCTCGCTTCTGTTGGAGGAGGAAGCAAACGGAATCTGGTGATCTGCAAACATTCCAGTCTCCTCTCCATTTTTTAAATTCTGATTTGTTTCAATGATGTCACTCGTACCCTTGCTTTCGTGAAATAAATTTAAATAAACTTCAGAAGGCCGTTGCGATCAGTCTTTGCTCGGTGCATGCTTCGAGAAAATAAGTAAGAGTTGGTTGTGGTTAAAATAGGGGATTCTGGAGTGCCATACCCTGTGCAGTCTATTCCCCATCAAAATTCACGCTTACCTGCTAATAAAGGAGGCCAGTAAGCTTGATGGATGAGGCTGGAGCAATAAATTCCAGGATTTTTCTCTTATTCTGTCCTTACCTTTTCTCAGGATTGTAAAAACGGAGAGGGTTGTCGAAAGGTTGTATGCATTATATACATTATCTTCGTGATACCCCCTTGAAAATATGACAAGTCCAGTTAAACACCCTATGTCTACCCCTCAATAAAAGTGTCAGGGAATTCTATATCCCAGAATTTTGATCAGGAACAGATACTGTACCAGATGGCGCAAAAAAAATAAATGCGTCCCGTTTGACGCTTCATAAAACCCGTTGTGGATCATCTAAGCTCGTGATATGTTCTTGTCACATTGGAAACACTAAATTTTGTTTCCTGAAAGTTTCATGAGTCTAGGTTGTTTGAATGAAAAGCAACAGTCATCTAAAGTGAAGTCATAAAATGTACCTCTTCTGCGCATGAGGTGGGTGGAGTTTTATCACTGCTCAAATTCTTTCTCTCCATTGACGCAATAAGGGTTGTTTTTTTGTGCCATGTCTTCGTCGTAGTAGTCTACGTCGTAGATTAGTGCTACTGTCGTGCCCCATAGTATCAGAATCTATACTACGTAGAATATACTGCATTTACGCATTCTTCCGAAGGTGAAGTTGGAAACCTGTCAACCTACCTTCGTCCCCTCGAAATACTCCATGGCAACGCACTCCACCAGGGCTCCAAGGATGAAGGAGAAAGAGATCCAGAGCTTCCAGTCCATGGCCTAAAATGCATTTCATAAGGGAAATAAAATACATTTTAATGGCATAATTTTTAATTTAATAAAGGCGGATGCATACGGTGGAAGCAGGAGTTTTGTGCATGTTGTTTTGAGCGCTCTGAGCCACGACCATGACTGCCAAGAGCAGCATCCCCAACAGCAGCATCCTCGCGCTCAGAGCTGTAACACAACCCATAACAATCCAAAGAATGCGAACTGTAGGAAACGAATGTACGACTAGCAGTAATAAGGGGTTACGCCAACAACGGTGTACTTTTCGAGGTTGCAAAAGAATTTCGGAAGATTTCGCTCATCGCAAGTACGAACAACCTCGAGAACTAAGATTACAACGGGAGTTCCACTCGACCGGTTACATCGGTTCTTTGATTGAGGGTCACTTTAACGCGCCACATCTGCGAGATGGTCATGGTCATTTGGAGAAGAAGGATGATTTTGACTCATGTCTTTGCTCAACGCCATTCCACTCAACTGAACCGTTCAAGGCAAGCCTGGCAGCATCGGCGACTTGCAATCATTCTTCACATAAATTGCATGCTCACTACAAACAGCTGGGAGGCTCTAAACTAAACGGACATCTCACGGTTAGACCAAAAGAGGAACCGCAGTGTATAGAAAGTCCCTCTTGATAGGCAAATTTTTGCTACTGCAACCAGGGGTCCGATCAGGAGTATGTGCTAGGGGTAGGGCCTTACTCATACCGAGATTCCGAACAATTTTCATTTTTTTCTTTCAGATTTTGCTTATGCTTGACGTATTTGATAAATGACGAAGTGAGAACTGAAGTGTTTTCTTTTCCCCCATGTTTTCTGAACGGGTGAAGACAACAGCAACAGCAGCTCCCATAATATCTTTGGAAAAGAAATGCGCAATAGCATTTCATTTATTTTCAAAAAGGCCTCCTACATTTTAAAATAAATTGGAAATATCATTCACTGAAGTTTACGGCGGGCAGCGATTTTCACTGGAGAGTAGAGTCGACTTTCCTTCAGCAAGATTGACTCAAAAACATGCAGTAAAAGCTATTTTAAATTAGTCCATTTTTATTTGTCTTACAAAATATGACTCAAAGAGTATGAATCCTTCCTTTTTCCTGCTCCCATAAATTGCATGATTGGGATGCTAAGGAATTAAAATTTATTCGTCGGCGGATTGGAAAAGTGTTTTCAGAAGTGCTGCGAATCACAAGGGAACGCAAAACGAGACCATGCTCTCAGGAATGCTTGTAGTTTATGAAATGGTAGTTATTTAATTGCTTACAAGACTTTTGGATCCACATGGTGAGGTAAGCGACGAGGACGGCAAGGTAGACGGGGACGAAGGAGCCCAAGATGTATCGATGGGGATTCCGGGCGAGCTTGTAATCCACACTCACCAGGGAATATCGCCCTATGAATTTCAATTTCTCAAACCATTAATAGGCCTCGATTTCGATGCTCCCTTATTCATGAAAAACCAAAAGCTACATGGGTAAGACATATGCCACTGCAAGGCTCGGTTCGATGCGAAGACTTCTGAATCACGATAGGCGGCCCCATAGACCTGTTCGTGTCTTTCATGACTAATAAACATGTTTTAATGGTTCGGCTTTCTTCCCGTGTGAGCTCACACGGGAAGGCGTAGGCGTAGAACGCAAAGCTCTAGAGCTTTCCGTTCTACGCCGTTCAGGTTTCCCGAAAAGGAAGAAACTAGTTGCACGCAATCATTCCAATTGGATTTCCAGGTGCTATATATCGTGTCACTGGTTGCAAAACAAGGGCGCCTGGAACTACGTGGTATTTCATGTAAGTCAGCTTCGAACACGCGTGCAACTCCTCCGCAGTGAATTTAAGTTTCGACCAATGATCACCAAGTTGAACTTGGTGACTGCTATGCTAGGAAATGAAATTTCCTGCAATCCATGTAAGCAACTAATTCTATGTATCATACCGCATTTTAATTTAAAAAGAACCGGCTTCGTGTGTTTTCTCTAGCATTCTCACTCTCGCAAAATACTTGTTTCAGCTGTTCAGTTTGCGTAGATTACAGAGCGAGCGTTGAGATGCGTTGTGTCTCTCATAGAGGCAAATCGAACTTTGCTCCTATTTCTCATTGAAAAACCTTCAGAGAAGAATGCATCACGAGCCAGTTGTAAGAATTTGCGACGGCTCACCTGTTCCGGTTTCCAGGATTTTATGGGACATGGAGACGAGAGGAAGCCGAAATTCCTGATTCCGCACTCCTTCGTCGTTGAATGCCACGCCACGAGGCCTCAGCTGGATGGTATCCTCCGTGCTAGAAACTTTTTTCCATGCATGCGAAACCCTTCGTGATGAATAACACCATTTTTGAAACATCGACGGAAGACGAGGGGAAAGCGCCTTACAGAGACCAATCTTGAGCGAGCATACGAGTTCGTCCATCGGGTAAAAGGTCTGGTAGGACTCCTGACAACTTACGACCACCGAGTACCTGAATTGTGCAAAAACGAAAAAAAGTGCTTGCCAACTTTTCTGTCCAAATCCATGCAGTGGAAAGTTTCCATTGAGTGCTGAATTTCTGTAAGTCAGTGATTTTGATAAGGTATGCAAGATGAACGCCAGGAGTATGGGGAAACTACAGCTCACGGGCCGGATGCGGCCCAGGGCAGCACCCTGTGGGATAAAAACTTTCCCCATCCCTTACCTGCACGATCTGATTCCCTTCGATATTGATTCGCTTGGTATACATGATATGTTATACAGTATTATGTCATACGAAAATGTGACTTATAGATAAATAGGAAAGGTCGTTTTCCATCCTATTGCGCCACCGTTCGAAGCTTATGAAATTATTTAATATTATCTTGCTTCATCTGTTTTTTTTTTACTGTCCCGTGGAGATATTTTTATTCATTTTAATTTTTTATTTATTTAAATACCTTGGACGTGTTGGGCCAATGCACATACGAGGTCTGTTCAAAAAGTATCGAGACTGTAGGAAACAAAATATTTTTTTTACAGGGGTTTCGGCCTAATCTCCTTCAAAGTATGCTCCTTCTGCTGCCACACACTTCTCCCAATGTTTCTGCCATTGTTGGAAGCACCTCTCATTAGTAATTTGTGGAATCGCTAAAAACTGCTCAGTCGCATTTTGTTTTATGGTTTCCACATCACAAGATATTCTTCCTTTCAAGGTTTTCTTTAGTTGAGGGAAGAGAAAAAGTCACCTGGGGCCATATCAGGTGAATATGGAAGCTGCTGCTTTTTGTGGTATACGGTGTTTGGCTAAAAATAGCATTGCTTTTTTTTTCAAAATTCTTTTTGATCGTCAGCAGACAGGGTAAGAACTTCGCTGTGGCGCGTTTCATTCCCAAATCGTCGGTTAGAATTGAATGACACGAACCAATAGAAATCCAACATCTTCTGCCATCTCTCGGACAGTCAATCGCCTATCATTTCGAACCAAACCGCGAACCGCTGCCACACTTTCATCATTTCGTGATGTCGAAGGGCGTCCGGAACGCTCATCACTTTCGAACGATGATCGTCCTTCTTTAAACCGACGATACTACTCAAAAACTCTTGCACGGCTCATGGTGTCATCACCAAATGCTATTTTAAGTAATTCAAATGTTTCCCTTACCGTTTTCCAGATTTTCATGCAAAATTTAATGCACATGCGTTGTTCTGGACACTCTGACATAACGAAAGACGACTCGAGACACAAACGATGTTTCTTCAACCGCTGGCCACAGAATAACTGTGGAAACACCATGAGCTGCAAACCTGTCCAGAGGAGTACTAACATGCAGAGACATGTTCAGCAAAGCCACGCCCCCACCCAATACTTTGTACCACAAATGCCCTTTCAGTCTCGATACTTTTTGAACAGACCTCGTATACAGGTAGTTCCTTTTAGAGATACCCCACTAATCTTTACAGGGTTTATCACTTCACACATTGTGAATTCCACTTGCTCTCCCTCTCCCACGTGTTCGAAACCGTTTTCGATGCATTTATGGAGTCGCAGAAGAGCTTCACCGTCGGCCTTACGGAGCACAGCGGATGAGATAGGCCCGAGTGCGATATCTGCTGTAAAAAGGAATACCTTGGATGTGCACCCGGACGATGCATACCTTCGGCTGAAAGTGATGGACCCATCTTGGCCGATAAGGATGTGTTGGTTGTCGGTGGGAAAGGTGTGAGGTCGAGTTTCCAGGGACTGGAAGAAGAAATCCGGTCTCCAAATCCTCGCGATCGTTTTTCCGTCGGACGTCCTCATCTCCTTCATTGCAGAACTGGAGAATTTCAATCTCGCGTCTTCCCAGTGACCTCGGAAGTACACGTCCAGAGTCACCTTCTATTCGTCGATGATAAGGAACCGGATATTAGTCCACTCACACGCAAGCACATTCCTGCAGCCATGAACAGTTGTGGAAATAAAAGAAATTGCCGAAATTAAAATTAGAATGTATGATACAAGAACAAAATGGTAGCATTCTTTCGGAAAAGCTTGCATGCGAATTGCACGTCGTACTGTCTACAATTATTGGCAATTCTATGCCGAGTAAATTTATCGTTTCGGAATATAGATGCTGATTGATCGTGCCCATAGGTTCGTAGGAGCCACTTGCATTGCAATTGCGAACAACCCGTCAATTTTGCACCATTCGAGCAAAACAGGGAACCATTTCTGTAAACCTTTAAATGCATGTATTATGGACATACCATGGTTCCATTTATCTTGGAACCATTTACACGTTCGTTTAGTGGAAAACGGATGCATTTACAGCCATCGTTTATTGCACAAACGTACCTACTGCATGGACATTCATTTGCGAAAAATAATCCCTTTCAAGTGCAAGCCATTCTCATCGATGCACTGTCGGCATCGATGTAAGACATTTTTCATTGTAGCCTGCAATGTTTCGGCAGAAATCTAATGAACGCAACCAGTCATGTTATTTTCAACTCCTGCTGTTCGTGCCGAATCCGTTCTTTGTAGGGAAACAAGTTCGGATCTTTGTGGAGTTTGCAGCGAACAGTTGTTGCACTCACACCAATCTGGCTCGACATACGCAAAAGGGATTTCTTTGGGCTTCGCTGAATCGTTGCGCTTATGGTGGCTATCGTCTCCACTGTTCGCACTGACTGTGTTCGGTTGTGCTTCTAAGCAGCCACAGATCCTCCTTCCCTAAATTTGGCAACGTACGGAATGGTAAATTTATTGGGCACGTCTCGTGTCTGAAATTCTCTTCTGAAAGTTCTCTGTGTAGTCAATATTGAGTGACTTTCAAAATAAAGTTCCACGATCCTTGTACGGTGTCTCATGCTCCAGGGATCCATCAGCAACAACTTAGCAGTATTTTATTTTCAAATTAAAATGAAATAAGAAATGATTATTTGCAAAGTTTTTCTTTCAATAAACATTCTCATGGTCCCAAGAGAAATGGAGCACCCTGTAGAAAAAGGAAAAGTTTTGATTTTTTTGAGCTTTCGCACAAGTTTGAGCGTTACCTGATTAACAGGGTCGATGTCCGTGACGAGGGTGTTGTACACGGAGACCTCCACCTTCATCGGGACTTTAAAAAAATTCAACATCAAATGATCAGCAATGCGTTGCAAATCCCATACGAATGATTCTCGGCAGCAGATGGGAGATAATGAGAGGACTCACGAGTCGGAGGGGAGTTCTTATCGTATCCCCACAGCGTTCGATTCAGAAGCGCCATGTCAATGTCCGCTTCTCCCAAATCCGGGAGTCTGCACATGTCAATCTTTTTTACTTCTCTGTTATTTCATTTCATGACACTTTCCTATGCTATAATTTCCTATGCATTCATGTAAGACAATGGTTCCTCTAAAAGAGAATCTTTAAAAGGAAGATGCAGCCTCATAGTGCGTCTAACATCTCAAGTTGATGAAAGGATGATCTTATCCCAGTCTCCAATAGGTGAATTAGTCATTCATACAACGGGGGATGTTCATGTCGGTGCTTAGGAAGTCCGGACGCATTGCTTATTTTTCTTCCCTAAGCACGAACGGTTACAAGCAAAGTTGCAGAGGGAAGACGTGCTTGCTTTAATTCCTCCTTCAGCGTATCGCAGGAAACGTTGCCTCTCTTCCCTGAACAACTGCTTCGATCATCCGGCGTTAGCATAATTTTGTGTGAAATCATATGCCGACTCACGCGATGAAGAAGAGAAGTATCCAAGGAGGCATGCTCGCTCGACACGGCCGTTCAGGACGGAATGAAGGAGCGTGCATAAACTCAACGAGTGACATTGGAGCTCCGCGACATCCTCCACTACTGTACAGGGTGTTTCAAATGTAACTTGCTGTTTTGAATATTTTTTTTAAAGGTGTCCATCGAATATGGATTTGAGGACTGCAGCATTTTCGAGCAATGAACGAAGTTTCGAATTTTCCACGACACATTGCCATTGCCATAAAGCCAGCCCATAACAGGTCTATCAATATGCGCGAAATTCACCAACTCAAATTTAAAGAAGGTGAATTCGATTGGCAAATGAATTCACGAAAACGTGTCACCCGATGCCATAAAATCCTATTGCCGAAAATTATACGAGGGGAGGTGCAAAAGTAGTGAGACTTTGTAATTATGCGGGCAGGACTTCATACCTTTGTCCGAATAGAACTCTTTATTTCTCAACGTAGTCTTTCTGCCTCGATACACATTTTTTCCATCTGCGGTTCCATTTATTGAAAGACAGACAACAAAAGAAAGACAATAAAAGCACGAGTCTCACTACTTTTTAACGCCCCCCCCCCCCCCGTATAAACAGGTACTATTATGGACAGACCACACAGTGGACATCCAAGAACGATTTACACCCTGGAAAAGTTGAACGCGTGGACATCTATGTGGACCACCTTTGGACTTGCACTGATGAAAGCCACATTTCATGTCGGTAAGGTATTTGAGCCCTTGAGCTGGTGCTAGGTTCTGTTGTATGCTTGCTCGTGGAGGGTATTCCGGGAGTTCACCCCCTTCTTCAAGCGAAAAACTACGAGCAACGATAAAAATGGAATAAGAGCTTCTCTGCTGAGGTCACGAACCTCCTCAATCTTTAATTTTCAATCCTAGAAATAGAATTTCGTGTCATATTGGGACGAATCTGGATGATAACGCATAACGTTAATGATATGCGAAGAGGCTTTTGCCCACGGTAAGAATATTCCGAGATTGAAAGCGTAAGAAGGTGTGAATATCACTATTGGATCACCCGGTGAGGGCATTAATATTCGTTCTACAGTTTCATGCTGCGACCTCGACTTTCATTCCCCGTATGTCATGATGATGGAACCGATGCTTGGGCCTTGAATGAAGCTGCGACGCGGATCGCATCACATCAACTATATTATGTTCGCGAGACGAAAAGGGTCTGTTCGAGCCCGCAACACAGGCAGATCGTCCTCCACGCGAGTCATATATGGATGCAACTGGAAGAAGGGGGGCGGGGGGGGGGGGATCGGCTGCTGGAGGAGGAAAATTATTGGATTTTTCGCTTGAAATTCATTTTGGGATCAGAACGGAGTTCCTAAGAGGTTGTAGGCATGGCATTTGAAGGTTTAATTACGGTCGTAAAAAAAGAAGAAGAAAAGAAAAAAATGTTTGGACGTAAACACGGGCACGAGACTTTCAGCTCCTTATAATTGGCTGTGCGATCTGTGTTCCATCTCCGGTGAACGGAAAGCAGCCTCAGAAATAGGTCAGCGGACACATGCGCCCCATTTACACTTTCAAATAATCTAAGGAAATGAAGATACTTTTTTTTCGTTCGTCTCGATTGCGAATGGTGAATGTTACCGTACGGTACGGAAAAGAAGAAACAACGCCGACTCGGATAGAAAGTTGAATACCTAAAGGAGAGATGAATCGTGGAGAAAGAACGATGACTATCGATAGAACTTGGTTTCCCTGATGTTCTCGATGCCGGCAGCTGAGATAGATCTATGCACCCGTACCAAAAGCTTCAGATATTTTCATCTAGGATTGACAAGTCTGAGAATTATTTTAGTGGGTAGGCATATCTGCGATAGCAGGATACAAGATGGGTCACCGGACGCAAGATTCTCTGAACCCATGGAAACATCCTCAAATAAAACTCCCATTGAACCCTCCTTCCTCCCCTTCCTCCCCTCCCTAACCCCCTTGTCCCCCTTAACCCCTTATCCCCCATAACCCCAACCCCCCTTGTCCCCCTTAACCCCTTATCCCCCATAACCCCAACCCCCCTCACCCCCTTACCTCCTGTAACTTCCTCCCCTCCCTAGTCCCAACCCCTTACCTCCAGTATCCCCTTCCCAGAATCTCGAGGGATACTCAATGTGGTTCGCCATGGTTTACTGCGGGAATAGTCTACTCAGGTTCGGCTTCCACCCCCAGGATTCTTTTTTTGCCCCGCATCATAAGGTGCTTCATAAGTTACTTCAAAGCGTACATTTTTCTCATACAGTTTTCCGTCGGCACAAAATCTCCACAAGTCTCATCCAAATGTCGAATCTTGCAGCAAATTGAGCTCGCTGCTGAGATGCCAACTCGTGTGCAATGTCAAAACACAAAGATTTACACGATCAACAATGTCTTTGCTCAGTAATATAAACCTCATTTGACGGAAGCGAGAGAAGGTTGAAAGCGTCGAACTTACCAAACACCCTGCAATGTGAAGACGGGTGTGCTACGTCCCCAAGAGTATCCCTTCCCAAATACATCGAGATAGTCGGTCGAGAAGAAAAAAAAAACACGCCTGGTTGGATGGTTATAAATAAAACTATCGCGGGACTGAAGTTCCTTCTCAATCCTTACCAATTCACCTTTCCAAACTCGAGCGTAGGAGTGCGGAGCCCACGCCCCGTTCGCGTTTCATAACTTACCAACGCGCCACCTTTCTTTTGCTCACTGCACGTCGACCCTCTGCAAAAAAAATACGTTTTTCAACGTCCGCGGAACGGTCTTCCACGCTGACTTATTACCCAAGGATCTCCGAGAAAGGAATCGGAAAACATAAATCCAAGGGAAGGGAGGAGAGAAAAAGGGTTGGGGACTTGGACTCCGAGGTAATCAATGCCACATGCCCGAAAAACCCCTTTCTTCGGGAAAAGGTCCTCGCCTCGGGGGCATATGTATCCTCTCCAATGGGAAGATTTAGGAGACGGAGGGGGCCAGAATGAGAGAGAGAGAGAGGGAGAGAGGGAAGTAGTAGTGAGCATGCCCCGAATTCGTAGGCCTTCTCTCTCCGCACTCCCTGAATATTCTGTTCCTCTCCCACCCCCTGGCCTGGCCCCTGCACTTGTTTTTCTGCCTCCTCCTCCCCCTCCTCTGCCCGTTGTTTTTCCCCTCGCATATCTCGCTCTCTTTCTCTCTCCGTGAGGCCATCGACGATCTAACAGCCCTGCAGGAATATCGGTGTTGTTCTCCGGTGACTGTGTAACAGCCCTGGAGGAATATTGGCGTTTGATCCGAAATGTTTCTTGTGGAAGAGGATCTTCGCATCCCATCTTCCCCCTGATCCTTCCATGGACCAGTCCAGCCCGGATCCCAAAGGAAACTACAGCGAAATCAACGGTGTGTTCAACCCTACTTTTTCATTCCCCATTTTCCTCTTAGCTTTCAATGGACGAAAGGGAACGTTGTGAGCTCGGGCAAGGGCGGCATTTTTCGTCCTTCATGATCTGCGTAATTTCTCGGAACCGACATACGTTCTGACATTCTGCTCTTGGCTGAAAATTATTTATCATTTCTAAATCGTATAGTCTTCTAATTATGGGTCCTTTTAGAGCCGGCACCTTACAGAGTACTTTCAGCGGATTGGCGTTTTTCGAAACGTAGGTCTACTTGCCGGAGTCACTATTTAGCCCTGCACTTATAGTGCAAATGAATGAAGTCCAAAACTTGAATAAGAACTGCACTGGATCCAAAGCGACTTCATTAGCCCTAACCAAAGCGGTCAAAAACGTGTGTTGCTCGACTTTTCTATCAACTCGCCGTTTTACTTTTGGTGTTCCGTGGAACGTTCAGCGTCGCAGATGTTCAAGTAGCCAACCGACGAGATTCATCACCGCGAACTTTCTCTGGAACACGTTAAATCTTAAATTGCCGGGTGGTTTCATGGCCCAATATTTAAAAATAAGAAGTCGGCCCTGCACTGCTATGGTTCCATTACATCTTCGTCGATATGGATTCTTCCATTCACTGAGCTATACTTGAAATAATTAAATAACTTGCTACTTTCTAGAACTTGAATGTGACATCTAACTGATGAGAATTAAAGCTTTTCCTCGATTTTTCAATGTAATAGTAGGTTCCGACGCAGCGTGGCCTCGAGCTATCGCGAAATCGTTCTCGCCCCTCAGAAATGGAAGCCTATTCGTATCGGAATCGTATTGAATTAAAGCGTATTCGTATTGAGCTTGCTCTTACCAAGGCCTATTGGATATCAACCATGAATTACTGGAGTTCCTCGAAATTCCTTCATTTTCACATTTTGCGCATGATGTTCTTCACAGGAAAATTTCGCACTTCCTCATACCGTTTCGAAAATGCTAATGGGCCAGGCACCCATAACGGTCATATTTAATTTGAAGAAAGATCGTTGGAATCAATTTGCAAAAATTCAGTTTCATCCGGGGAAGAAGTCGCCATGTTGGTTCGATTAAATCCCCTCCCATTGAGAAAAAAATACAGGGGGACAGAGAATGAAATAAAAAAAAGAGAAGGGGGATGTGGTTTCGTACTGGGCCGTTGATA